ATCCACTTTGACGTGATATCAAAATTATTTTTTTGCTGTGTACAGTTTGTTTGTTTGGGAGATTGACGCGCCCTTCTTAACCGAGGGGGGGGGCGACACATCTAAATCTCAAGTTTAGATGCTCAACAAATCTCACACTAGCGAACCAACCTTCATCATCTTTTTGCAGGAAATCTTCAGAATCGTCATCAATCTTCTTTCTATCTACTCAGCGTGCGCGCAGCTAGCCACAGCAAAACACAATCTTTTTTGCATCGTAGATAGAGTCGTCCCCCTCGCTCTTAACAAACCATCCTGTAGGAAGCTTAATAAGAATTGCGAATTACGTTATTCGATTTGTTGGATCGTATCGTTGGAAGGAGATTCTTAAATTCCCGTGGATTTCGCGTAAGTGCCTTTGCTTACGGGTCCACCCCTCCGTTTTGGCCCTTCATACAGCGATATTGTAAATTCAGATCGATAGCTCAAATTGATCTTGCTATTAAGTGGAGCTGCATACAAGACAAGATCTTCGAAGGGATGGTGGCTACCCTACATACATTCATACATTACAATTTGGTTGTTTGCAACTGGAACATAACAATTATATAACGTTGTACGATATACATCGATTTTGCGAACAAAATTACATCCATCGATGTAATATTGTATCTGCTTTTTGCTATTACATCATTATTTCATATATCAGCTTGAATTACATTGATCGATATCACATTTTTTTTTGCTGTGTTATAGAGGCCTGAAAAAGGCACATTAGCGGATTTGTTGATTAATTGGGTATATCGGAGAGTGTTTACTTATAAACTTGTTTCTCTTCCGCTGCGCCTAGATAGAGATGGGCAAGTCTGACAGCCACAGTATCTGTGAATGAATATAAACTATAGACGACTAACTATATAACTAGCTTACTTACTGTACTCTTCATTATAGATACTATAGATTCCATAGATAAGCGGAGGCTCAAAAAGTTGCTTTGGCAACCATGACAAATTAATTATCTTACTGGTATCCGTGAAAAATGTTCATGCCATCCCGATTGCCATCCAAGAGCTTTTCGTTGTGCAGTTTTGGTTTGTTCCTAACTTTGCTCAAATATTACAATACTTCCCGGAAAAAAAGGCCACGATGACGTCATGTTCGTTTGGCTACACTAACTGACAGTTCATTCAAAGAATAATACTAAGAAGAAACTGTCGGAAGAAAAGTTTTCTATTTTAGTGTCCTCTTTCACGGTCCCTGTCATCCAATGAATACCCCCCGTATGCAAGGTAATTTTGTGGATTTGCTGCCCCCACGGTAGAGATGAAATTTTGCGCACTTCTTTTAATCAAAACCAGAGACGTTGAACGTCTCTGATCAAAACAATAACACCAAAATTAGAGATGTCCCATTTTTTAATTATTCGATTTACAACTAATCCATTATTTTGTGTTTGCTGTGCTGTCATTTTTCTACCAATGAGAGTGCAGCACATGTGCCTCTGGAGAAGTTAATGCTTATATCGGCATGATATAACCGATTACAAATATTTTACTTTTCGGTTCGTTAATGTTTTAATCGAATAATGAAAATCGGCCATCACTAGATGAATGTGAAACGTCATTTCAAATATAAGGATCGTACATAAATAATGATACAATTTGAAAGGGGCTGGGGCTAATCACAAATTACGTCCCCACGGTAACTGAAATAAATACATTTTACTTCGCTTCCGCTTATCTATGAAATCTATTGTATCTATACTATTCATCACATTTAGAGCATTTTCAAAAGTTAATGTTGAGAAAAAAAAATCACATTTAAACGGAAAATGCATTGGTAGCAGCGAAATTCGATCGGAAACACTAATGTCCAACCGGTTTGCGTTTTGGGCTCGAAATGCTCATGAGTCATTTGTTTTTGATTTTGTACGCTTGTCTCTTCCGTAATTGGGGAGTTGCGTTGTTTCTAGACAATAAACGTCTAATAAATATTTTAGTTTTGTCATTATCGAGTTTCCGGTAATTTACCTTTGTCAACAGACAATCAATTAGAGATATGATAAGAACATCTGGTAGTATTATTCCGTTTACAAAAGATTAGTTTTGATTTTGTGCCACTCACATCAACAATTTATCGCATTGCTAAAGCGAACTTTTTATCAGTGCGAACCTCAACCTGAGGTAGGCGACTCAAACTCAAACGATCAAACTGACGTTTTTCAGAAAACAAGCAGATCCAATCTTGATACCCGATCCAGTTTGGAACTGAATAATAAACAAATTCGCTATTAATTTCGTTAGGTTTTTAACGGAGGATTTCGAAGATTGCTGCATGGTCACTGAGCATAACTCAGAGATAGAGACAGAGCAGGGGTAAGTCACTCTGCCACTTTGTGTATGTGCTTATTGTGTTTCATGTGTGTTTTTTGGCGTCGAAAGGTATTTCCAAAGAAGAATACTAAGATGAAACAGTCGGAAGAAAAACTTTCTATTTTAGTGTCCTCTTTCACGGTCCCTTTCATCCAATGAATACCCCCCGTAGGCAATTTTGTGGTTTTGCTGCCCCCTCGGTAGAGATGAAATTTTGCGCTCTTTTTTTTATCAAAACAATATCAGAGATGTCCCATGTTTTAAATTATTCGATTAACATCTAATCGATTATTTTTTGTTCACTGTGCTGTCATTTTTCCACCAATGAGAGTGCAGCATATGTTTGAAACGATGGGTGATGATCCTCTGGAGAAGTTAATGCTTATATCAGCATTATATAACCGATTACAAATATTTTACTTTTCGGTTCGTTAATCGATTAATCGATTATTCGAATGACAATCGACCATCACTAGACCAGAGATTTTTAAGCCTCAGAAAAATTTCTTTTCCGGCAGGACCGTACGACGGTGTTTTCAAATATATCATATTAACAATATGATCCATTCATGCCTTTTCCAAATGTTGCAATGGCGACCCGTAAAATATTGCTTTACGCACCATCTAGCGTTGAAAAAGGTCAGCAACAATCATTCAATTACAATCGAGGGGTGCGAATATAGCACTTATTACAAAAGTAAGAGTAAAATTATTTTCATTAATTACATTGTGTATATTACTTTACAATTTGTCTGACATGTCACTGTTTTCATCAAATAAAATAAAATGCTGAAATACATTCATTTGAAATATTAAACAAGTTTTCATTTGGTTTACCCCTCGTGACGATAAACAAATACATTGGTAGCCTTTTTGGCCACATAGGTGCTTTCATCGCTAAAAATTCGGTTCGCCAGCTAAGCGAAAGAGTGGATCATATTGTTAATATAATATATTTGGTGTTTTGCTCGATTTTTTTTCAAAACAATAATACAACAATCGAATCTAAACATTGTTTCTACTGTGTTACCTGACTTATAACGAATATACGTTCTATTCGAGTACCCCGAATACAAAGTATGACTCGTCTAATTTTGCATAGCATTTGCAATGTAAAATTAGACGAACTATAGACCTTTTTGACGTTTAATCGTCTTTCTCTATCTAGCACATGGATGAATGGATGGTTTGTTTTCCCACTAACCTGTTTCCCTCTTGCTCGCACTCGTTCGATTTAAATGGTGCAAATCTCTATACGTTGTATTCGGGGCACTCGTATAGAACGTATATTCGTTATAAGTCAGGCAACACAGTATAGTGGTGCCAGAATTGATTAAACAATTTGCTAATCCTGCGACGGAAGGGTGTTTGAAGTGTGTTTCTGTAGGTGTTAGCACAATGTGGCAGAATGGGTACAAATCTTTCGATGCCTTCAAAAAGCATCTACGTCAGTGCCACTTTTATTTTATCAATGGATGACATCAATTTCGTGAAATGAAGGACCATTATTTTAACAAAAAAAATCTACGAAGACCCGAACACATTCAAATAATCAGAAACGGAGTAAGCAGCTTTTTCCCGCTAAATTGCCCTTTCGGATTACAGTTCAATGTAAATCGCTAATGATCGAGGATTTAAACATATTAACATAAAAACAAACTCTACTTGATTAATTCACATTTTCGTCAATCGTTTAGCTAGCCAAGGTTAAATGAAATCTCCATAAATTCAATTCATATATCAGCATTTCCTCGTATAAAAGATATATCGGTGAACCGATTTCTCTCAAACGTTGTGCATGTGTTCCTTATTAAAAAATATTATATCTGTTTTTTTTTTTATTTCGCCATTAGGGTGCACCTTAGTAAGTTAGGGTGGGTAAAAAAATTGTCATTTTCGACTGTACATCCAAATTTAAAAATTAATAACTTTTTAACTACTTGGCCGATTTTAGTTCTTTATTCAGCAAAATAAAGGAATTGTGCTATCTACAAAAAATACGAACAAGATGATTAAACAAGTTCAAATGAACCAAAACATGAAGTAAAATGTTTTTTTTTTGTGGTTTTCACAGTATTGAGATCAAAGAAACACACCTTTTCATATTTTTATTGAAAAGCTTACACTTTTTGTAAATGTAAAAGCATATTAAAAATGCATTTTTTTTTCGTTTTTGAAACATAATTTTTTTTAAACATCATGTCACATGGAGATCTTATGTTTATGCATTTAAAGTACAATGCGTCTCCATTGAGTCATTGAGATTATTCAATTGCTTTGACTCAATGGAGACGAATTGTACTTAAAATGCATAAACATGAGATCTCGATGTGACATGTTTAAAAAAAATTATATCTAAAAAACGGAAAATAATATATTTTTAATATGCTGGTGAATTATGTAAAAAAGTATGAGCTTTCCATTAAAAATATAAAAGAGCAGTCTTTAACACTGTGAAAACCAAAAAAAAAACTTCATTTTTGGGTGATTTTAAACATGGCGAAATAAAAAATACCGTACTAATATTTTTTAATAAGGAACAAATGCACAACGTTTGAGTGAAATCGGTTTCCCGATAGGTGTTTTTTACGTGGAGTTGCTGATATAGAGTAGGTATATATTAATAAACGAACTTTTTCTTGTTTGTAGCGCAAGATGCTGAACCATGTCCTCCACCACCGAAGCACTACTCGGAGCTGGGATGCAAACCCATTGTAGATGAAGGCCACAAATGTCCGAATAGGTGAGTCAAAATTGATGGCAAACCAAAATAATCTATTATCTATCAATCATTGCAAAATAGCACGGACAACAAGTCATTGTAACAATGTGATTGTTTTTCGCCTGCAGATATGAATGCCCCGTATTAACGGATCGTGATGGCCAGAAGTGCTACTTCAACGGACACGTTTATGACGTCGATACTTCACTGTCTATGGCTGACCAGGAGCTGGTCTCGTGCTCTCCTGCTTGCCGCTGTAACAAGTATGTAACAATGCTTTTAAATTTTAAATTTGCTTTATCTATTAAAAATAATTTATTTGCAGTTACACGTCACCATCGTCGTTTATGTGTGCACATATTGATTGTCCAGAGTTCTTCGGTCGGGAGGAATCATGCATCTACCAATACAGCCCACGTGATTGTTGTGCGTCAAATAAGGTTTGTGGCACGGAAGTTGAGAAACTGGGCGAATGTCATCTAGACGGAGAACGGTATATGGAAGGCCAAAAGATATATCCAAAAGAAGAAAGTTGCTACTCGTGTCACTGCCAGAAGGGTTTCGATAACAGTACCATCGTGGGAAATCCTAATTGCCACGAAATCAATTGCGGAATTGAAGTGCATAATGTTGGCAGACTGATGGATGGTTGCATTCCGATTTACTTTGGAAATGATAGATGCTGTCCTATCTCGTGGAGATGCCGTAAGTGTTGAGCTAACTTTGACAATGCAAGTAGTTGATTTTACAAAACATGAATTTACAGCTGAAGACAAAGACTCCGTCATCGTTGAGGGACGTCTAGATATCGATGAGGAGGCCGATCCGAAGATGCAGTGTACGTTCGGTAAACTGCAGTTGAACCTTGGGGATTCCATCTCATCCGACGATAAGTGTGTTTCATGCAAGTGCACCGTTCCTCCAATGCCTCATTGTATTCAGAGCAGGGACTGTTGAAGAGTAATATTAAAGAAAACTAATTTATACAAAATTCGATGTACAAAACTATACAGAAATTCAAAGTGTGTTAATAGAATAAAGTCATAAGTGAAAATCGGCCACTTTTTCATTTATTTCAAATCGTAAATGTTTTTATTAGGGCGTCGAAAACTGTAAGTGGAAACCAATCGGTCATTGAGAACATAATGGTGGCGGCGGGTTTATTTCCGAAACGTATCTGTTTTTAAGGCGTAGGACAACTGGGTGTTTTATGCGGCTGTACCTTTTTCTCGTACTTTCATGCATCAATTAATATGGAAATTTCACCAAATGATTCATTAACTAGAAATTCTAGATGAAAAACCATTGCATTTATCTACCAGGTAGATAGGTACTTGAACAATTGGGTTGTTTAATTTCGAAAAACATATCGGTTTTTAAACAATATCTGTCACAGTTTTGTTTTCTGAACACGGCGATATTTTTGTCGATCCCATAGACATTCATCTTGATTTGTAAATCAAGATTTAAATATTTAATTGTTGACACTCAATCTATTCGTTGACAGCTCGCTCCCATAAAATCCCACCGAGGGGCGCTAAGATGGGGACTTTGGCTTGTTTTCCGTCGATCTTGTTTTCCGTGCTGAGCACCAATGCTACCAACGCTAGGGAGGCAGCTCCCACACCTGAACTCTACCTACCTATCGAACCGGGGACCAATGGCTTTACTTCCCTTCCGAAGGAAGGCGTGATCAAACATGTTATGCCTCAGAACATCCCGGCGGCGCCGACTGGGATTGAACCCAGGTCGGCTGGGGAGAGGTAATCATGTTTACCACTACCGGCACCGCTAAGATGGGGATTTTTTGCTCATGTAATCGCACTTATTTAAAATAGTTCCAGTGCACCACAATTTATGAAATTTTGGACTTAGTTTCCATTTTTAATGCAGTTTCCGAATATGTATTTACCTCAATACCCCTAAACTACCCAATTACATAGTAGTGAAATTATTTAAAACAACACTAAACCGAGAGCAAAAGCATAGGGGAAGTACAACTTGATCTGAAGTTATATTTGGTGTAAAAATTGTTCAAATTGGTAGTTATTATAGTTTTTAGTGTAAATTTTAATGATATTAACTGTCAAGTGGAAAACTACAAAGTAAAAAAAATAACAGTGTAACTTTAAGGTAAACACTAAATGACGTTTCACCGTTAATATTTAAGTTTACTGCAGCTTTCTGTTTGTCATCATTTTTGCAAAGATTTTCATTTTACTATATCCTGGCAACGGAAGTGCGGCCCATTATGCGCACTGAGTAACCGGAGTAAATGATCAATTTTTCGGCAGGAATTTTATACCTCGGTTGACCGTAAGAGTACCCCGGAAGAATATAAAATCAAAAAGAAGTCGAAATTCCCCAATAAGTTCCTGGAATGGCAAGCAATTGTGGGATGGGACCATAAACCAGCAAATTTAGCAGAAGGAGCGCCTTCTCTGGAGCAGTATGAGGTGGATTGCCTATTATGGCTGGAATTGGCAAGCTGCAATTACCCAAATTTCACCAAACAGTGGTACAGCAAAAATGGCGTCGCATTGGTTTCCAAGGAGATAAATCCGGTCAATACTCCGGAATTAAATCCAATTGAGGAATACTGGTAAATTGTGAAGCACATACTGAAGAAAAATGGTAGAACTGCAACTTACCTGAAGAATTTCCAGCGGAACATGTGTGAACAGGGCTCGTGCAAAAGATGATGGACCATGTACGAAGATAAGTTTGAGCAATGGCCTATGGTAAGAATAAAGGGTGATACGGTCAAAATTTGGTCAAGGGAAAACGCGTGTAAATCGATGAAATCGTTTATTTAAAAAATCAAATTAAATTTCTTTTTCAAGTTCAATTAGTATAAAATTCAGGAAAAATATTCAGTTAAGCTTCCGCTTTTCCAAATCCGAATTGTCGGGCCTTACGCTTGACCCCTGCCATCAGATTTTGTACAGCCACCTTGTCCACCTTCTTCGCCGCAGAAAGCCAGTTTGCCTTGAACTGCTGCTCGCCCTTAGCAGTTTTTTTGGTCTTCTTTAGGTTCCGCTTGACAATAGCCCAGTATTTCTCAATTGGGCGGAGCTCTGGCGTGTTGGGAGGGTTCTTGTCCTTGGGAACCACCTGCACGTTGTTGGCGGCGTACTACTCCATGGCCTTTTTACCGTAATGGCAAGATGCCAAATCCGGCCAAAACAGTACGGAACAACCGTGTTTCTTCAGGAAAGGCAGTTTATTCAAACACTCTTTCACGTAAATTTCTTGGTTGACAGTCCCGGAAGCTATGAAAATGCTGCTTTTCAAGCCACAGGTACAGATGGCTTGCCAAACCAGATATTTCTTTGCGAACTTTGACAGTTTCATGTGCTTGAAAACATCTGCTACCTTTCCCCTTCCTTTTGCCGTATAAAACTCCTGTCCCGGAAGCTGCTTGTAGTCGGCTTTGACGTAGGTTTCGTCGTCCATTACCACGCAGTCAAACTTCGTCAGCATCGTCGTGTACAGCCTCCGGGATCGCGCTTTGGCCGTCGTATTTTGTTTATCATCGCGATTTGGAGTCACTACCTTCTTGTAAGTCGATAGTCCGGCTCGTTTTTTGGCTCGATGCACGGTTGTAGACGATACACCCAGCTTATTTGCGGCATCTCGGAGAGAGAGATTAGGGTTTCGCTTGAAACTACCGGCAACTCTCTTTGTCGTCTCAGCGGCTTCCGGTTTTCGATTTCCCCCCGATCCAGACTTCCTGGCTGTCGACAAACGTTCCCCAAACACTTTAATTACATTTGTAACGGTTGATTTGGCAACTTTTAGCGATTTTGCCAACTTTGCGTGCGAGTAGCTCGGATTTTCGCGATGCGCGTGCAAAATTTTGATACGCTGCTCTTCTTGCTTGGACGGCATTTTGACAACTCAAGAGTGAATTCCAAAATCAAAATAGGAGCAACATTCTATACACACACACCTTCAAAATGAGGGGTGTTCAGGTTTTTTAAATGCAAAATTGAAAGAAATACGTCAAGTTGATATTGACCAAATTTTGACCGTATCACCCTTTAAAGACTGAAACAATGATCTTACAATAAGCATAATACATACTAATGTATAGCTGTTACATTGAACTATGAAAAATAAAACGCATATTTAAACACAACAAGATTTTCATGCCGGATTTTTTCATGTTCAACCTTTATTAGAGCTGTGCAAATCATACACGGTAAAAAGTTGTCACATCTAATCCAAATCATCTTGCACTTGACTTAGTCGTCATGCGGAAACTACGAATCGAATTAATTTATCATTGATTTTCAAGTGATTTGCGTTTTGAAGCAAAATGATTTGTCGTTGAAAAATATGTACTGTATAACACCTTTAAATCAAAATGATCAACATTTGAATTGGCACCATACATTGAATTTGATTTGTTTTGCTTTTGGAAGCAAATGTCAAAAAAGCACATGCTAAACATTACTCGCGAAGATGGCAAGTCAACAACAAGAGAAGCGATAATTTTTCATTTCCACCCGAAATAATTTGCATTCTAGAGCGTAAGTATTATGAAATTGATGCTGTATTCAATGATAGTGTATATTAGAACCTGTATTACAAAACTTCGTCAAACTTATCAAATTTATTGCTGAATGTCTCGTCTTGCTTCTACTACAAACCTTGCAATGGTGCTCAATATCACTTGGAAACATGTGATCTGGGTAGTAACATAGAGGCAACTCTAAGACCAGAAGGTCCCGAAGAAACGTGCTCAACTTTTAGGCTCAGCTCTGTTACTCTCTTCGGCCCCAAGCTAATCGATGCACCCTTCGAAACATAGGAAAATCCACGAGCCCCTCATTTTATCTGTCAATCTTTCATAGCTAATCAAAACAAATATAGTGTAGTACTATAATTTCAAATACAATGGGGTACGTTAATTGATGTACTTGGGACCGATAGGCTAGTGCAGTGTAAGCCAATTTAAAATCGTTAGTTTCCACCGGTTGGTAGTAATATGATACATGTTCTGTGGTCATATTCTGAATATCATATAACAAGGCTTAGAGATGAACTAGCCTTTGACTAAAAATCTCTTAAATAAAGATTAAAAAAAAAAAAAAAAAAAATATATATATATATATATATATATATAACAAGGCTTGCAGTATGAACAAGACAATATCAGGGCCAAAATTTCAAAGGGGCGTAATTGCATTTGTAAACAATAGCTTTAGCCATCGATTTCTCGCGAATAAAAGCTCACTCATGAAAAATAATGACACCAACAGGTAGACGAATGTTTCCTCTACCAGCTAGCCTTGTTATTTTGGAAGGGTGAGGTTTTATTCGCGAGAAATTTATGGCTAAAGTCATTGTTTACAAAACCAATTACGCCCCTTTGAAATGTTGGCACTGATATATTTATTTATATATTAGATAAATTAGTTGAACTTAACATAGATTGTTAATATCAGTATGGTTGATATTTCGAAGTCAAAGCACAGCACATCAACAACGATGTGCAATACAATCTAAAATGAAGTGATTTGCTGTTGATTTCATCGTGTATGTATTTATGTATATACAACCTTACTTCCACTGTGCGGCAGTGTTTTTATGGAAGAAAAATGTTTGCAATATAATCTATTATTATCTTATACTGATCCCATTGCAAACAATTTTAGCCCGGAAGTTGAAAGGTGATAGCTCTGTTGAGATTCAGTAACCCATTTCAAAATGCCTGGTCACTCACGTCCATTCCGAGGTTACTTTCACTTACAGCAAGCCCCGCATACACGTAGTACCGATAAAAAAATTCCTGCTTTGTAGATGGCACGTATTTAGTAGGATGCATTTCATATTTTTATATCTAGTTGTAATCAGTTAGATCTCACCGCTTATGTATTGTGTCCTTGCTTCTGAATCTTTGTCATCTCGATTCTCGTTGAGTCCTGTTGAATAATTGGCATCTGTAGTGGAATACTCTTCTCTCTCTTTCTCTATCACTTTCCG